AGCAGGAAAGGGGTGGTTGGGGTCCAACACCTCATACTTAAATGAAACAAAGGATGTGTCCCCAGCGGGAACTGCTGATTTCCCAATAATGCCCACATATAACCTCCACTTGTGGCTTTAGGCGATTCACTAACTCTGATGGACTATTTCTCTTCTGCAAAATAGGTGGAATCATTTGTAAGGTTGGGACATATTTTTAATGAGCTGTTGCTTAAACGTGTTCTTTTATTTCCAGAAGACTAAACTCAGCTATTGTCTTATACCAGGACATTAAGTCTAGAGCTATACATAAGTTCCTCTTCATATACGGATTTTAATTCCAGCAAGTATAGAAGTAGAGAGAAAAAGTTGTAGAAGTATAAAACTTAAGTTTAATTCAGGCTGAAATTTAGTTGTTTAATAAAAAAAAGAATTAAAATAACATACTGGATGGATAAACAAAAATATGAAACTCAATAAAAACTAAGAATAACATCAGGTTCAGCAATCGGGCACCAGATACAGCCCTCCACTTCTTAGCCTTCAAAGCACATTGAGACGTAAGACAAATTATTTAATTCCTACTCTCTGAAAAGATGGTATACCTAACTTGTAAATGGAGTTTCCTGTATGTGTTCTTGTCCATGAATAGGCTAAAATTTTATAACATCAAAACTTGATCTCCCTGGCTGATGTGGTTCAATGGTTGGAGCGCTGTCCAGTGCACCTAAGGGTCAAAGGGTTGCAGGTTTAATTCCCAGTCAGGGCACATACCCAGGTTGTGGGTTCAATCCCTAGTCAGGCCATGTGCAAGAGGCAATCCATCGATGCTTCTCTCTCACATCAATGTTTCTCTTCCTCTCCCTTCCTCTCTCTAAAATCAATTTTTAAGTTCTTTCTAAGTTTTAGATATTAACCCTTTATAAGATATATCGGCAGTATGTTCTCCCATCAACCACATGACTTTAAAGGTTTATATTTCACTTCACCAGACCCCATCCCTACCCTTCAAACTTATAATGATCTATATAATTAGGCACAAAAATCCAGTTGGACAGCAGGGGCTATAAACACAGAATCCAGCCTCTGGCTTAAGATGGAACTCCAGATAGCATGGTCTTGTTACGGGTGCCTATTCCCTACCCAGTGGAGGTATGCAACCCAGTAGATAGATATCTCATTCAGATAGCATACCCTAAAATAGGTCCTCCTGATCTTCAGGGAAGTTACTATTAAGGAAATAACTACTATATACCCATTTTTAAAAAGCAGAGGGAAGCTCTGAATCTTGTCTAAGTACAGTACAGTAGAAGTATTAACAAAACAATTTCTAAAATTGTTTCACCGATGTATTATTTCAAGGTGGCTTTCCTTCGGGGGAGTAGGGTAACTGAACATTTAAGTCTACCTTTGCTTTTATGCTTTGGTATTCCATAGCTACAAATTAAATCCTAAACCAATAAGTTACATTTTTATAAAAGCAAAATATCTTCAGGAGACAATTTTCTTTAAAATTTCTTTTTCATACCTAGTTTTCAAAACAACTATGACAAAGTTTAAAGTATAACACAATATAAATGTAGGCAGAACACCTGTAATATCCAACAAGTAAAAGGAAAACTTAAAAGAACCAGTGGGAAGAGCAGAAGAGAGCACACAGGTGGCATGCAAAGTATATGTGGACCTTCAGCTTTTGAAAATGAAATACAAAAGGTTATTTTTAGGGTTGTTGCTTCCATGTACGATCTAAAAGCACAGGAGACACTAAGAAGAGGGGAAAATTTTGAAAATAGACTAGGATTGAATGAGTAAAACAGTACTGGCAAATTCCTAGGCAATCACGATCTGACAAGTCATTTCTATGCACCTCTATTAATTAAAAGAATATATTAATTTTATTTTGGAAAGAAGCTAACAAAGTGCCTCATGGAAAATATCCCCTCCCTGTCAAAGACACCTCTAAAACCTCTAATAGGGCAGGTATAAAAAAAAAAATGACAAGAAGCTAACTCTGCATTAATTATTCATTAAGTAAGTATTTTAATAAGGTCCATATAGCAAATGAAGGGTGAAACAAGAGGGTGGTCTTAGACTGGGCAGAGTCAATAACAGAGCATCCACAGAACCTAAGAGGACAAGGGAATACATATATTAAACCGTCATGTTGTACACCTTGAAAAAAAAAAATGAACAAGTGTATAAGGAAAAGGGTAAAAAAAGAGACAAGGGGCCCCTGACTTTGTGTCAATCTCCAGTTTTATCTAGAAACCAACTGGCCTCATATATAGTTCCAAAGTAAACAAAGACACCTGCCTATGGTGCACAGGGTAAAACTGGAGTGGCTGCATCTGGACGAGAGAGGAAGCATAAGAGCAGACCAGCTTAAGGTTAAATTCATGTATATTATTTATTTTTATAACACATTTACCCACAGTTCAAAATCCAAAGATACAAAACGGGAAAAATATCATTCCCTCTTCTGTTTTCCAGTCAAGTTATTTCTTTGTCCAAAGACACACAAACAACATTTTTAAAAAACCTGTCATTGTTTTAACTAAATGCACTGACATCACACATATGCATACATTACAACTTTTCTAAAGTAGCTGACTTCAAGACATGTAAAAAGTATCAAGAGAATTAGTAGAGTAAAAGTGCTGGATTATAAGGTCTGGGTTCTAGCCTCAACACTGAAAGGCCCGACACTTCTTTGGCATTCTCCCTTATCTCTGGTCACCACTGGAGTCCAGGCCACTGTAAGCTCCTGCCTAGACTTGCCCGGCTCCTCCACATCCTCCAAATATGTAATTCACCCTCTTGCCTCCTCCAAGCCATTCTACTCAGGACTGTAGCCAAAATAGTTTTTTAAGCAAATCTTTTTTTTTTTCATGCAAATGCTCAACTCTTTTGCAATTTTCTTTTTACCATTTCAGTGAAACCAGGAACAGGGACATAATCACTTATGGTGAGGCTGGCAGAGTCTTTAAGAGACCACTTTCCGAGCTGGGTCCCCTCATTGAACAGCCCGCACTGAAAAGACTGAAGCCCACAGAGACAAACAAAGTAAGCGGGCCACATCTAGAATGTACTGGATCACAGAATGCCATGATTATGTGGGTACCTACAGGTTATTCATTCATTCATTCATAAATATTTACTGAAGGCTGGGCACTGTGCTAGGTATCAGGAACTGCAGTGAACAGACAGATAAGATCCCTGACTTCACAAAGCTTATATTTCTAGAGACATTTCTAGAAAATAAGTAAATACTCAAGATAATTACAAAGGCACCTTCTCTCAGGTCTGGATTTTTATAGTCAACTTCTGGGCAGTCCCTCTGGGTCTTCTCTTGGCCTCTGCACTGTATTCCACACAGCGGAGTGATGCTTTTTAAATGTAAGTCAGATCATGCCTATACCTTGTTCCATATCTCCCACACTCAGAATAAAAACCAAACCTTTACCGTGATTTGTGAGGCCTCGAATGGTCTGGCTCTTCTCCCTCTGCCTTTCCTCACTTACTCCACTCTGGCCCATGCCTGCTGACTAGCCTTCCAATCACCAGCCTGTCCCTCTAGAACTCACTTGCTGTTCCCTCTGCCTACAACACCCGCCCCCAAGTCTTCTTACGATGCGCTCTCACTTCACTGTCCTTGTCAAGACGTCCTCTGACACTGTTTAGAACAGCATTCTGCCTTTAGCTTCATTTGTCTACAGCATAGATCACAGTCAAAAGATGATATTTTTTTAAATAATGAGAGGGGTGTGTGGACTGGTGCCAGCATAGATGAAACTAGATTGGTCATGTGTTTGTCGGTAACTGTTGATATTTGCTGATGGGTACATGGAGATTCCCTATACTATTCTCTCTACTCTGGTATATGTTTGAAATTTTTCCATTTAAAAAGGTAAAAAAAATAAATAAAAGATATCCAGAATATTAAAATGGAACCAATATTTATTATATGCTTCCAATATAAATATTTCAATGTTTCATAAAATTCTAGTTTGCATCCTTAACAACTAATCAGGAAAGAAGCTATGTATTATCCTATCAAATAAAATGTGCTTCATTTCAAATGTTACTACCCTTCTCTCTTGTTTTTGCGGGATCAAGCCTGCCCCACTGTGCCGTGTGTCATGCTGTGGGAAACCTGCACAGATCCAGTGTAGCCTGAGATGAGGGGGCACCACTGCCTGACTGGGGGTTCAGCTGCAGGCTCACCTGGCTTTTATACCATACTCTGCCTCCATCACTATTAAAGGTGACATTGTGGCCTCAAAAGAGGGGGGGGGGGGTTTTAAAAAAAGTTATTTTTTTTCTTCCTTGACAAATTTCTAATCTCCACAGCTTATAGAACGTTCCTCTGCAACAAGCTTGCCTTTTAGCCAACGAGAAGTAACGAAAGGACTAGAACCAGAGAATTCTTGCCAGCAGTAATGGAGTGGACAGAGCCCTCTCTGCTTCCCGGTGTCCCCACTACCTTGGTAAGGTTAATTATACCAGACAGCTGTTAAGGATACTTAGTACTGTGGTGAATGTGGGTAGCAACTGGATGCTATGCAAGAGATATCAGCACTAAGTAATCCCCCTCCTGGGAAATAAGGTGAACAGTATTTCTTTGACTCTACTAGCAGTTTTCCTCCATACCTTTCCCACAACTCCTTTCACATCTCTCTCTTCTAAAAGCCAAACCTGTGGCAAATAAGATAAACTGGACACCCCATGACTGGGAAGAACCAAAATCCTATTGGACACCACTGCTCTAGTTCTGCCTTGCCAACCTGGAGGCTAACTGACTGGTTTTACTGACAAAACTGGTTGCCCAGGAGGGTGAACATTATCTCTGAGAGCCACAGAGAACATTTAATCTTTGCAGTAGCAGTCTTTTTTTTTTAATCTTTATATTGAAAGTATTACATATGCTCCCTCTCCCCCCCACCCCCCGCATTAACCTCTTCTAGCCTGCCTCCACCTCCCACCCTAGGTGCAGTAGCAGTCCTAAAAGCCATTAGTTTTTTTAGCTTATAAATACATACCTGTGTTAGTGATTCCCAAATCTGGCTAATTTTAGGTATTTCTAGAGGAGTTTTTTAAAAGACTCTGTTGGGGCCCAAAAATCTGTACTTTTAAAAGTTATCAGGTACCCTGACCGGTTTGGCTCAGTGGATAGAGCATTGGCCTGCGGACTCAAGGGTCCCAGGTTCGAATCCGGTCAAGGGCATGTACCTCAGTTTCGGGCACATCCCCAGTGGGGGATGTTCAGGAGGCAGCTGATCGATGTTTCTCTCTCATCGATGCTTCTAACTCTCTATCCCTCTCCCTTCCTCTCTGTAAAAAATCAATAAAATATATTTTAAAAAACAAAACAAAACAACAACAACAACAACAAAAGTTATCAGGTAGTTGTGCTCACTCAGGTTTAGAAACTAATGATGTAGTACAACCTAAGGTACAAACTAAGTCACAATTCAAGAGTGACCTGCCTCCAAAATTTTTAGTTATTCTGATAATAAAAATATTTCCCCCATCGTGGCCAGTGTGGCTCAGCTGGTTGAAGCGTTGTCCCGTACACCAAAGGGTAGCAGGTTTGATTTCTGGTCAGAACACATACCTGGGTTACAGGTTTGGTCCCTGATTGGGGCACGTATGGAGGCAACCGATCAATGTTTCTCACTCCCTTTCCCACACTAAAAAAAAGTTCTCGAAATAAACCTCAAATTCTTGATAATATACAAGGTAAAACTGAATTGTCAATTCAGCCGCCGCTGGGGCAGGCGGCAGCTCGGGATCTCACCATCTTTGTTGGCGGTTAATTTGCATATCACGCTGATTAGCCAATGGGAGATGTAGCAAAGGTATGGTCAATTACCATGTTTGTCTATCATTAGATAGGATACTAGTGGCCTGGTGCACGAA